AAGGTGAGTAAGGACAAAACAAGGGTTTTCTTCTCTAAGAATGTGTACAGAGAGAGAGCCAAAGAGATAAGTGATTCCCTGAGTATAGGGATTACCCCTGATTTGGGTAAATACCTTGGGATCCCTCTTCACCATAAGAGGGTTACAAAAAGGACCTTTACCTATGTGTTGGAGAGAGTGCAAGGGAGACTCTCCGGTTGGAATCCCACATCCCTATCTTTGGCTGGTCGCTCCACTTTGGCTAAAGCAGTCTTGGAGGCAATGCCTGCTTATTCTATGCAGGCTACTGTTCTGCCGATTGGAGTTTGCAAGGAGGTAGAACAATTGACAAGGAATTTCATTTGGGGCTCCTCCCCAGCTAAGAGAAAAACCCATCTTGTGAGCTGGAAAAAAGTTTGCAAACCGAAGAATGAGGGTGGATTGGGCTTTAGAGATCAAAAGCTAGTTAATAGGGCTTTCTCCATGAAGCTGGGTTTTGGGTTGCTGGCTAATAAGGATGAATTATGGTCCAGGGTTCTAAGGAACAAATATAAGGTGGACGAATCTTTCACTCCTGTGATCAGAAACAGTGCTAATGTTTCCCATGCTTGGAAAGGGATTCAAAGGTCTTGGGACCAGGTTCTAGAGGGATCTAGAATAGCTGTTGGAGATGGGACCAAAACCTTATTCTGGATGGACAGATGGGTTCCTTCTGTGGGCAGATTGATAGACCATGCCATTGCCAATATCTCTAATGAGGAGAAGAGATGGCTAGTGTGTGATTGGGTCAAGGAGAGAGATTGGGACTGGGACAGGCTTGCTACTCTCCTGCCCAGAGATATTCTGGACATCCTAGGTGACATTAACCCTCCTAATGAACTTGGGGGCACTGATAGAGTAATCTGGACTCTATCCAGTACAGGTTCTTTTACAATTAAATCTGCATATACCTGTCTTTCTAACTCTGGTATTGCAACTCACCCTAAAACTTGGGATTTTGTTTGGAAATGGGAAGGGCCACAAAGGGTGAGATTCTTTCTCTGGTTGCTGGCTGGAAACAAACTTTTAACTAATGCAGAGAGAAGCAGGAGACATATGACAACCAACTCTACTTGTCCTAGGTGTCATGGGGATGTAGAGGAGGCTGTGCATGTATTCCAGAATTGCCCTTGGGTTCGTGAAGTGTGGAGCTGCTGGATCCAGAACAGTGAGATGAATTCCTTCCTGAACAATGATTTGGAGTACTGGTTGCACAGGAACTTAAATAGGGAGAAGAGGAATAAGAATTGGAGGCTGATCTTTGGGGTAGTCTGTTGGCTTATTTGGAAAGACAGAAATAGGTTGGTTTTTGATGGAAAGGGTTCTGCCCCCTTGGAAATTTTTTCCCAGGCCTCCTTATTTGTCAATAACACCAAGTTGGCCGAGGATGTACTGGTTGGGGCTGGCTTAGCTGTGGACAGATTTTTGGAGATTTTGGTTAGTTGGTCCCCCCCAGCTGGTTGGGTCAAGCTGAACTTTGATGGGTCCTTCTCTGGTGATGGTGTAAGGGCGGCTTGTGGTGGGGTGTGCAGAAATGAGTCAAGTATCTGGCTAATGGGATACTCTAAGAAGCTCAATCCTGAATCAGTTTTGATGACGGAACTATGGGGTCTCTTGGTGGGTTTGGAGTGGGCTTGGGAAAAGAAGTTTAAGAAGGTAATTTTTGAAGGTGACTCTTTAATGGGGATCCAACTGGTTAAGGAAGGTTGTGTTAACTCTCACCCTTGCTTTCTGATAGTGTCCAAGATCAGGGGGATGTTATTGAAGGACTGAGAGATTGAGGTTGTTCATGTGTATAGAGAAGGAAACCAAGTGGCACACTGGTTGGCTGCTAATGAAATATGCTCCTCCTGGAACACTCAGTGGTTTGAGAGAACTCCGGCTGGTTGTGAGAAGCTGTTGCTTGAGGATACCGAGGGCAAGATGAGCCCAGACACGTTAGTTTGTAGTTGTCTTTTCTTTCCTTTGTATACAAAAAAAAAAAAAAAGATGTATAAAAAAAAAAAGATAAAAGAGAAATTATTTTTCTCTTAATATTTTTAGAGTAAATCCTTTATTTGATTTTCTAAAAAATAGTATATCACTAAATTATTTCTCCAAGGATTTTCGCTACTAAATTTATTCTTCAAATCAAATTTCTTTTAAATAATTCTTATTAATTAGCAATAATGATATATTTTTGACGGAATACATGGAATGTGAAATGCATATATGCAAGCATCACGATTGCATCATTTTTAATTGATGAGATATTTCAAATATTTTAATAATTCCATTTCTAAATAATTTAAAGTAATGACAGGTATAAAACGACAGACATGCTCGTTCTGAAATAAAAATAATAAGGTTTTTGTAACAAATAAACAAAGAGGTTTGGTTCAAATTTATAGGCTTACGCGCACCAATGTAGCTTGACGTATTAGAATTAAAAATTACAGAAATAAAGAAGAACAGAATAATACTGCGCATCAGCGTTGACCTCTTCCGAGCATAGGTCATGTCCAATTTGGAATGATTCTTTCCTTAACACACAAATTGACTATAAGATAAGTTACTTGTGTGTTTTTTGTTTCGATTATTTGAATTTAAATCTCCATTTAATACTTAATAAATAAATAAAATTTACTAGAATAACGTGAGAATAAATTTTTTTTTAAATGGGCAACTGAATTTGGATTTGAATATAACCAAAATGTTAGAATTTTTATTAATTAATTATGTTTTAGTATTTCAAAATATTTGGTTAGTAATATTTCAATTTGGTCAATTATTTAATTAAGTTCCCTGTAAATGTTTTCGGGCTGATAATATCTTATTGAAAGTAGACTTTAATGTGATTAGTTCTTCGTAAATATTTATTTTAAAAAAAAAAACTTCAGTTGTAAGTTTATACGTCTTGAATGAATAAACAATGTATGCTGAGCAACTAAAATTTTGAAATATATACCAAGATTTTGCTGAAGTTTTTGCCGAAAACGATTGATAGGATGGGGCCAAGGTTACACGTATAATTTATAAAGTTTGGTCTGATTTATTTAAGTTGTGGTGTGACTCGCCTTTGACTTATTTTCGCTCCTTAAATTGTGGTTATGCTATACACTATAATTAAATCAATTAGTATCTTCAATTCATTATACATATACAGTGGCCATGTTGTTATTTATTTTTTCTGATTTAGTGTAAGTTACTCAATAAAAAAAAAAAAAAAAAGTCATTTGATATCATATTAGAGCATTTTCCTCCATTTGTGAGTAGTTGGCGATGAGAATTAATGGAGAGACTCCATGCTTCCACGCGCGATAATAAAGTTGACGTATGCTGGCGTGGAGTTGAAGAACCTACTATTATCAAGAACCTCGTGATTGATAGAAAATATAATGTAAAAAGATTTCCTTTCCCATGCCTTTGTTGATCTGGGTCATGCATGATCCATGCATGCATAGATGCACACACGGTTACGCATGCGTGAGGAATGAAAAAGCTATATTGCGTTCTCTGTTTGAACCAAAAAGAGCAACGGGAACATGTTATGATAGCCACACTTTATGTAGAGATGAATGATTTAAATTCTTAAAAAACTTCACAAAAAACTTTTAAAAATAAGCAAAAGAAAAGAAACCCACATTTATAGTAAATAAGTTGGAGTTGAATTTGAGTTCATTTTTTTCAATATTCATATGTAAAAACCAATGATAGATTAATATTTTTTCTGTGTCAAACAATAAACTATTGTATCTCTGCCTACATCTAATTGAAAAATCGAAACAAAACAAAACTGAAAATATTATGAAAAAAAGACGAAATTAAAATATTGAAAGAAAACAGAGTTTAGCAAATAATGTAGGGAGGAACAGTCCCCGTGATTCCCGACGAAAGGGCATATATTTCATATTATCTTTTTGAGAGGTTTGGGTCTGCATCAGAGACAGCACAGCATCACGTACAGTTCACAGTCTCATACACATGAAATATTTTTTTGCTCACTGCTGCTTATTCATACATTAATTTCTTACTATCATTCATTCACATATATATAGCTGGTAATTAATTTCTACAATAATATTATGCTGTACCTACCTCAATATCTTTGATTTCAAATTATCATGAATTTATGTAAAGATTTTAAAATAAATCAGTCATAGTTAAATTATCAGTCATGTAAATAGTTTAAGATAGGGGAATGAGAATCATGAGATTGCATTGTTATTAACAAAAATGTGTAATGTACATGTGTAAGTATAAGAATAAGATGATTTATTATTTAATAATTTGTATGTATTTTTTTAATTTTTTATTTTGTAGACATGTGACCAAGTGTTTGGTGCATGCAATAAACTTTTTTTAAATTATAATATGATTGGAGTGAAATTAAATGATAATTCCTTTTTCGGTAATATTTCTAGAATCATCAATTCTTCCTCTTCATAATAAGGAATTATGATTTTCATTCGTACGGAATTTAGGTCTATAATAATTGTTTCACTCTTTCTTTCTTACCAAACTAAACAATCTTTCTTTCTTGCAAGGAAATAAGACTAAGTAAATGGATGAATTAGAAGAACTTGGTTTAACTTCATATGATGCCTCAGAATTTTTGGAGTGAGACCTACATGTTATTATTATTGCTCTTTATTTATTTTTTGGTTTAACTTGAATAGTATTGTTAAAACTTGTATTCTTGCCATGTTCAACCAAATTCATGCTTCTAATTTCTCGAGAAACATTATTATTATTATTTTGTCTAGTGTATGTTGTGCACACGGCTCCACTATCATAGTAATTTATTTATATGAACCATTTTATTATCACAAAAGAAAAATAAAAAAGCTTTTGTTATTCAAGTTGGAACAATAAGAATTGGCGTCACATGAAATAATTAAGTATTTTCCTTCCATTCCTTGATGTCCATGCATATTTAAAATATACACCAACATGCTTACGAAACCAAATTATTCTTTTACTCATCTCAAAGAGGAAAACACAGTAGGAGAGAGAGAGAGAGAGAGAGAGAGAGAGAGAGAGAGAGAAGTTGGAGTTCTAACCTTTGTGTGAAGAACAAACTGTTCACTATTTGTGTATAACGTTGTTGTTGCTTAGATCGAGGATTATCATTTTCAATGTCCAAGGAAGGAGGAGGATGAAGAAAAGTAGATGGTATAATAAGGAGTTACCAAAAGAAGTATTGAATACCAAACTATTCCATTTCATGAATTAGTGTTGTTTGATTCCACCAATAATTAACACATAGCGACATAGAGTACACTGTTTCTTTTGTCTGTATACAAATTCTGATCTTCAAATCCAGTGTAGAGAGGTAAATAGATATGAGGATGGAAGAAAGCCATGGCTCAGAATGTTCCAAGACAGGACCCTCTAATGAAGATGGTTGTGAAAGTGAGCAAAACAACAACGGAGGAAGCTCAAGCAACAGCACAGTTGAAGAGAATGACAAGAAGACATCAGTGAGGCCATATGTTAGATCCAAATTGCCAAGGCTACGTTGGACACCTGATCTTCATCTTCGCTTTGTTCATGCTGTTCAAAGACTTGGAGGACAAGAGAGTGAGTTTCTTTGAGTATTTTTTGGATTTCAATTTTCTTTGCTAGGTTAATTTAATTGAACAAACCCTCCCCGAATACAAGGTTTCTCGACTTGCGAGGGTAAAGATAAAGGTCAATTGTACGTAGCCTTACTCTTACATTTTTACAAAAAAACTATTTCTCAGACTCGAAGTCGTCGTCGTAGTTATGAACAATTTAAGTAATTTGAATTCTGTTATGTTTATTTATCTGAATATATATTGTTTTCTTGGGTGTAGGAGCAACCCCAAAGTTGGTTCTCCAGTTGATGAATATCAAAGGTTTAAGTATTGCTCATGTCAAGAGTCATTTACAGGTAATTAATATAGATAATGGCAGCCCAAAGAGCTTTGTCTGCAATTAAGTTGTTTTAATTTGTTTACCAATTTGGTTAATTTCTTTTCTTCCCTATATATTTATTTTGCCAGATGTTCAGGAGCAAGAAGTTAGTTGACACAAATCAAGGTACTAAAAGACTAAAAGTTCTTTTTTTTTTTTTGTGTGTGTGTGTGTTTTTAATCCTACCATCAATAAGTGATTAGGGTTTCCCTAACAAATATAACTTTTGTGATTATATATATTACAGTATTGGGTGATCATAGGCTTCTTGTAGAAAGTGGAGACAGAAATGTTTATAATCTCAGCCAACTTTCCATGATTCAAGGCTATAATCCAAGCCAAAGTTCAGCATACGGGTACATATATATATATATATATATACTGTTACCAATTCTTTGCTTCAAATTCTCTGAAAACATTTCAAATTTCACAACTGAAGTTTTTTTCTTCTTTCTATAGATGTGGATATAATGGGGATGCTTCTCATAGTATCTATGAAAACATGGTGCATAGGCCTTTCATGGGTAGGAGTTCATTGGATGAATCTGGAGGTGAATTTTATGGAAGAATGACTGAGAGGATCTCTGGGACCAAAAGTAACATCAATTGGTCTAATAGCAATTTCCAAGTGCATTCTTCCAATTTTGGTGAACAATCAACAAGTAAAGTCCATGAATCACCAGATCATAAATTCCTCTCATTTGGTGGGCATGATCGTGAATCTTTATGCACACAAATCAGATTGAGCCAGATTAATCAAATGCAGCCAAGTTCACAAGTTCTCATGCCTCATGATAATGCAGCCAGATTAAAAAAACCATTGGAATTGAAGACCTTGAAAAGGAAGGCTTCAGATATTGACCTTAATTTGGATCTATCACTTAAATTAAATTCAACGGTCAGTGCTGATAACCAAGGAAGCACAGTGGACCATGATGTTGATAGCAATCTATCACTTTCTTTGTTTTCTCAATCCTCCTCCTCTTATCCTAGCAGCAAGTTGAAAGAAGCACAAGATCATTGTAAGGAGCAAGGGAAAAGGGTCACTCTGGATCTGACTATATGAATGAGACAACTTCTAAGTGAGATCTTGAGGTACCTGTCAGTATATGATGCATTTTGTAACCAAATTATTACATTTATCTGACACAACTATATTTTCTTCTTGTCCTTTTCTGTATATATGGACAACCAATAACATTTTGTCCATTGAATACTGGTATTTTCTAGGTGCTAAGAATCATGATCTCAATAACAGTATTAGTTTGTATACTTGTACTGTCATAACAATGCTAAAAAGAAAGTTTAGTGACTAAAATTATACAAGAAAAACAAAGCTGCGTTTGTGCACCTCCTAGATCCAATTAATGGGATTGAGATATACATTTCTCTCTCTCTCTCTCGCTTTGTGTGAAAAAGTAAACCTGCTTGTCATGTTGTGAAACTTGTTTATTAATTTATAATCGTTATTGTTGACTTACTATATATATCGAGCACAAGTGGTGATGCAGAGGTAAAGTTGGTCGATATGACTGAAAGGTTACATATTCGAGTATAAGAAATAGTATTTTTGCAAAAGTATAAGGACAAAATTACGTACTATATAGCTTAAGTTACCACCAAGCATCTAATTGGCATGAGATTGTTCCAGCTTAACAGATGTTTTGAATTTGAGGCTTGGGTATTCAATTATATAAAAAAAACCTTTGTCGAGTCACTAAATTATAAACGTATAAAAGTGAATCAAAAGGTAAGAAATAAAGAGGAGAAAAAAGAAATCAATTAGTACGTGAAAATAAATAAACAAAATAACATAATTTAATCATGACTTGACCATCTAGTGACATAACAAACAATTATTCATATATATATATAGGGTTTATATTCATCATGCAACATGAAAAAAAAAAATTTCTTACACACAACATTTTGTGGGATCTGCATTTTTTGAAGCAAAAATAAAATAAAAAATAAGGCATGAAAAACGAATCTTTATAACATGACACAATCACTTTTTCTACAACATAACTCTTATAAAACCCTATATATATAATATATATATATATATATATATATATATATATAGTTTTATTTTTATTATTTTAAAGGACACAAATTATGTTTTTTTAGCAAACTATAATATAACTATGTACTAAAAGTAGTACATAATTATAATTTGCTAAAAGGGCACAACTTATGTCTTTTAAAAGGAAAAATAATTTTCCCATATATATATATATATATATATATATATATATATATATTCTACTCTAAACTTCATAAAGATAATAATTATTATTTTTGAGAAATCAAATTTTAGTATAAACTAAAACGATGATAAAAAATTAATAGTTTCCATTACTCAATTTTATTTTTAGAGTTTTTTTTATTAATCTTATTATTTTATTTGAATGTATACAATGTAATAGAAAATAACGGAAACTATTAAAATTTTCTTTAAATAAAATATGACAGAGAAGGAAAACAAAGGACGTGTTTTTCTGTAATTGAATTTACTTTTTGAAAATTGATCGAAAGAGGAGGGAATAATTTTTTTAATAAAATTTTAATATGAATTTTCAAATTAGATATTTCAAATTGAGGAAGGATATTCTTACTACCAAAATTTTCTACTACTAACTTACTACCTATCTAATCACCATTAAATTAAGAGAGAGAATGCTAAAAAATTTTTGAAAAAAGAGAAAATATTAATCCAATGGTGATTAGATAGGTAGTGAGTTGGTAGTAAGAATATCTCTCCTCTTTCAAATTTAGGCTACACTTCAGAGTAAAGTAATAATTAACAAGTTTTCGATAAAAAAATACTTAAATAGTCATGATCACGTACAGTAATATAGATAATTATAATTTTTTAAAAAATAAACTATTAATTTTCTAGTAATAATCATCAACTCCGCATTTTATTCTGTGAATTTCAATCAATATTTTAGAGGATCTAGATTGAATTCTAGAGGTAAAATCTTCTAAATTTTAAAGTGCACTTTCAATTGTTTTGTTGAGTGAGTTCATTTTAGACCAAAAAAAGAAAAGAAAAAAGTTGATTTTCGTAAAGCAATTGCATAGAAATTTAAAATTTATGAAAATAAGCTCCACTGATTAATCATCATATAAATTACTTACCTTTTTCTTTAAAATACCCCATATATCGGACGTATTAATTGTGAAAAGGAATTAATTATATTACTCGTGCTTGCTTTTTAAGTTAAATTTAAACTGTTAGAGCAAGTAGACGTTAGTAGACAAGTAAAGATGTGTTTAATAATACAGAAAAAAAAAATTTATCCCCGATATTCAAGTACTGAAACTTTTAGTGATAAGATTAAGCAACGAAATTGTAATGTAAAAATGCTTTTATTTTGCATTTAACATGTATTAAGTGAAAGTATTAAGAAATACCTCTTTATAATAAATTAAAGTCCACATTCTTGAGAGCAAGATAATTTCTTCACCTATTTTCTTTTTTATTAAATATATGAATTTTGTTTGCTTGAAAGCTACATGTATTTCTTTATTTTTATTATTTAATATTCTCAGTTCATTCTCCTATTTTTTTTCTTTTTATTACCAACTAGATAACATGTGTTTGATCAAATTTAAAATTAATTTTTAAATTTTACGCGAATTTAAAAACACGAATATAATATAATGTATAAAATACTAGTCTTCATTGGCTGGAAATTCCCTGTTTGTGGGGGTTGTGCCCCCTTTCTTTTGAAAAATAAAATAAAATTATAATTTAAAAGTTTTAATGAGGAAAGGGATATTCTAGTATTCTATGCGAATTCGCAAGTTACAAAAGCTTAACCCTTTTTTTTTCTTCTTCTTTAATCTATTGCAATGAATATGTGGAATATTTGGACGGTCAAGAGATACAGCACTTAATTAAGCATCAGAAGCGATTTCTACAAGGAAATGCTTGTTGCTGACAGTATTTATTTATATATTTGTTTTATGAGGCTTTTCCATATCTTTTGAACGTGAAATTACTATTCACTTGAAATATTGATATTATCCTTTCATACAAGCGCTTTTCCCTTGA